TCGTTTTGGTTTTTGGTGTTAGTTTTTGTCACCGCATATTTCTGCCTAATATTTTCTATTACTGGTAGAAGTTACAATAACAGTTAGTAAGCAGTTATATATCTTCCATCATTTATCAGGTGAAACATTTAATTTGTGGCGCATGATTTCTAGGATTGTCGGCTTGCGGCATCGTGTCCATGGAACGGAAAACCTAATCACTGATGGCCCAAGGATACGTGGTGTTAATCATCAGCGGGCTCGAGATATTCCAGGTGAGTTAAGATACTTATATTAATTTTTACCTCTTCCTTATGTACGGCCAAAACGCTCTACGTTTGTTGCTAAACGATCAATGGCTACGTATGCATCTTTCATATTACTTGTTTGGTTTACGAAATGCATTCTCATCGACCGATCCAATAGTAAAGAAAGTATGCTCAAGTTGGCAAATACAGCTCACTTGATCAGAGATGAGAAGGTAAGTTATAATATTCTTAAATTCCGGATACTACGGTTTAGGATATTGTCTTTCCTGAAGGCACAAGAGGAAACGGAATGTCTGGTTCACTTCCTTTCAAGAAAGGTGCATTTCGTCTCGCCGTGGAAGCTCAGGTTCGTTATCACCTCGTTTCATTTACTGCCTTATAGGTTCCAATTCAGCCGAACTTGATTTTATTCAGGCTTTTCATTTAACGCGGTCGTTGAAAATTTCGAATTTCATATCAGCTGAATTAATAACAACAAAAACAACAACAACAACCGAGAAAGGTGAAAGGTAATTCAATTAGAGAACTGACTAGGAAGCATAAAAAGTCCATTAGGAAGGTCTCGATTTCTTTGGACATGGTTATTTCCGATGTTACTCGAGCCATTTTAGTGGGAGACCGGATAGGAGGAATAAGGTAGGAAGAACTAAGGTGAGCGGTTTTGCAGACTTCTTTGAAGTCTTATATTTCACTTTTTCAGGGGCACATTTTGCACGATTCATTATTTGATAAAAGGTCACATGGCCTCTTTTTGGCCAGTATTAGGAAATTATTACACTTACCCAAGTCACATTGTTGGCTAATGGAGAAAGCAAACTGATTTATTGCATATTTTTCAAAGATCAGAGAATTCCTCTAAACACATCTTTAAAGTGTCCCAAGAAATTCATAGGGTTTAAAGTAGTAATTTTCGCTTTTCAAATCCAAACTGTCTCATTTATTAATGTTGAAATGCATGCTCCACGATAGTAATTGTTAGCCCTCTATTTGACTTCAGGCTTAACAGAGATGAGGAGGAGGATCAAAGTCACAAAGCGTGGAGAGCAGGAGAGAAGAGTGATTCGCAGATGTAAAGAGACAGATGGACACAGAGGTAAAGAAGGGGGAGGGTGAATACTGGGGAAGAAGTCGAATATGACATACAATGGGGTCATGGTAGTTTGAATTTGAAAGTCAAATCTCGGTTTGTAGACTCTTCGCTGCAAGATTTTACCTTTTCCAGGGTGTACAACGTGACAGTAAGTCTTACACGCATCCAGCCCCTCCTTCATCTCCTCTATCACGAAATTATCTATCTTTACGCCTTCCTCCTCCCCAACCCAACGCAACACCCCTTAACTGATAGAAACCTTCCTATATGTCAAAATTATTGCATGATTCAATAAGTAGTTTAAGCTTACTAGTACGAAGCGGAGTGAAACGAGCACAATTAAAAGTTGTCAGTCCAAACAATGGTTGCATTAACTCTTCAGTAAAGAGATAACGAAAAGGCTTATCGAAAAGTCTACTTTACAACTCTCCATAACTGAAGGCATTGGAACAATCCCCAATTCATCTCCTAAACTATCATGAAATCGTTAATCTATTTGCAGTCCGGTTGTTAACTGTGCATTAAATTAAAAAGTTGACCATTAGAGGATGAATGCATTGTTGATACTCGTTATAGGCCTATTTTCAGTATTTGATATTACACAATCAACGCCAATCAGTTAGGGAACATCTTTTACCCAAATTAACTCCCATCTCAAAGTACTGCTTTGTGAATGAAATGACTTTTTGGCCTTTTGGAAATTACCATTAGACATCACGAAGTTGTCTCACACATCCACATCCACATCCACATCGGCCAACCTGTTCAAATAATTGAATGAGCAATTAGTCGATAGCAATTTGAAGCTGCAATAATTCAACTCCAATTCAGGAAGGCACTTCCTTTACATTAATTTTGGCTGAAATATTCATTTTCACCGCCTCCCCGACCCAACTTACTCGAAATATCATAAAATATAAACTGCGTCTGCACACTACATGAAGTTCTCCACCATGTCACCCCACCTCTATTCATGCCTGAAGCAAATGATATTGGTCTAATGTTTTCTAATAGCCCACTCGCTATGACCTAACCAAATACCCAAAAGAAATACATTTGTCCTCACTTTGAACTTTTGTTTAATTTCCAACAAGAAAGTGAGCGCCAATGTTTGCATAAAATTACACGATTTTTCCATGTGTACATGGTCTTAAGCAGCTATAAAATCTTGTTCTTTTGAGGTAAATTAAGTAAG